GGTGGAGGTCGCTGGACGCACTGTCCTGAGACGGCTTTTTGCTTTGAGACACATTGCATCATGGGGCTGGAGGCAGCGATTGGCGGGTCATTTGATTGGCTCGGGGTGTGTTTGGGGGCCGAGGGGTGTGGGGGCTCTTACCTGCTGGTGCAAATCTTCTCGTCATCCGTCAGTGCTCTTCAGCCACTGCGGCCCTCCTCTCGTCCAACCGGCGTACGATCTCTCTGCGGTGCCGTTAAATAACAACAAGATGGACAGAGATTGAGGAGCGCGGTTCAGCGGCTTCGGACGACCCCGGCTGCACAAACAGCCATACGTCTTCTTCATTACCCCGAGGGGCTGGAGATCAGTGACAGCAGGGCAGCTATATCACGTCACAAGTGACACGATAACGGCGGAGACAGGTCATCGCCGAGGAGCAACACAACCACGATGTGGCGGCGTCCGCTGTGCGCAGAGCGGGGAGATATAATGGGGACGGGGATTAAAGTCCAATTCGTCTGATTTACATTCAGGAATGAAAGACAATTAGACGGAGAGCAGTGGTCACCTTGCTCAAATCACTGATGTCAAGGATCTGGCAAAATTGCTTTTTCTTCTCATTTGCATGGGTCACACATCTCGCTTATCCGCTCTGATTTAATTGGACGTTGACAGCAAAAGTTTGCAGTATCAGAGTGTCAAGGTATTTCCTTATTATATCTCAGCCTGACGAGCCGAGGCCCGTAACGTGTGGGCTGAGGTCAACGCGAGCCGGTGATAAGTGGAAGAGATTAGAATACGGGGGTCTCTCGTCTCGTTTCCCGAAGCGTTTAACGGTAATTTATCAACTTCTTCTTCTATAAATTTCATTTATGTGCCGCTGATTTGATGCGTTCGATTTTTTAATTAACTTTATGTTCATGTCAACACTTTAGCTTATCTCCAAAGTGTCCGATGCTCTTTCTGAATCTATCGACGGGATATTTGCAGCAGCAGCATGTTTCATTTGTTTTCTCTGCTTATCTGCTCCTCCCCCGCTCCTGGTGGCTTTTTGGCGTAACAAATTCATCAAGGCCTTTATGGTCACTTGAGTCAGCGTCGTTATATCGCCGCCAGTGGTCACACCTTAATGATCTGAGTGCTTTCTAAAAGCCTCAGTACCTCGCCGCTCATCCGTCAGCATTCGCCATCAGACGGTGACAGCGCTGCAGTAATGGTATAGCGTTTCTATTTTGAAGGTCACTTAATGGTTTAAAGTGACAGGGGAGAGCACGGGGTCTGCGTGTCATTCAGGGCGAACACCAGTTTGACATCTGCTTCCCTTGACGTTCAATCACTGTGATTTTCCGTTTCCCACTCGGGCTGTTTGATTTCGTCGCCCGGCGCCGCTCAGGCAGGTGGGAAGTGATGAATGTGGCTCAGGCAGAGGCAGGTGGAAAATGATGAATGGCAACAATCATGGTTGACCATCAGTGGAGGCTGCACAAGGCAGCGACACAAAGAAAATGATTACCAAAGGAGCTCTGCTAAATGAAATCCGTTATGATATAATATATAGTAAATGAATTCCTTCATGATAGGATATAATTTATTTATATAAAGAGAGAGACTGTGTGTTTGCCTGTTTCGGTGGAAATGTATTTCTGTCTTTGTGCAGATCTCTTTAAGTCGGAGTTTTTGTGTTTTTGAGTTTTAAGCCCCCCGGGTACTCGTCGGTAAAATGCTGCATTGGAAAATAAATTGTTGCTGCTCTTTCACTCAGAATCCCACACAATCACCCAGGCACATGATGAAATCACATCACCATCAGAGACATTCATGACTTATTCACTAATGAAATTACAGCGTCTCTATGGGCAGCAGCTCCGAGTGAGTCGTTAACATCAGTGAATCATGATCTGACCAGAGAGCAGTGAACTCACCACTATCACGCCTCTTCTGTCTTATGTATCCCTCACAACAATACTACTACTACTACTACTACTACTACTACTACTACTACTACTACTACCAATAATAATAAAACTTTATTGCTACACAATTATCCAAACAAGGTGACAAAGTACTTTACAAACATTCTTAGAAATAAAACAACACAAAACAAAAGTAAGAAAGACAACGTCCATGAAAACAGTGAAGGCATTAAAGGGCTTGACTGTTGTAGATATATTAAATAATATATATTTAAAAGAAGAGCAAGTCTGATCTCCCCAGGTAAAGAGTTCCAGAGCGTCAGGGCCCTGATGGTTAAAGCTCGGTCACCCATCGTCACCAGACGTGACTGAGGAACTTCCAGCAGCATTGCAATATGTGCATTTCCCCCTCGGTTGAAAAAGAGAAAATCACCAGTGATGTTTCGAGCACAAGGCTCTTCCTCAGAGTCGCCCGCTCAGATACCTACAATCCTTTCTGAAGAAATCATGAGATGTATCAGAAAGACAGATGCACGTCACTGTAGATATCATATCAAATATACATCGAGGAATAGAATAGAAAACATTTGATATAAGCTCCTAAAAGAAAACATGTTGTCAAGAGAGAACATAGTTTCCCACTCTGTGCAAAGAGAAACCTCTCGGGTGTATGTACAGTGGCTTCAGATAATATTTATAGCACCAGTTTATCCTCCTGGGAGCACGAGCGTGCTGGAGTTTCATGTCTGCGTCTCACAGGATCGGGTGCGTCTTGTATTAAACATGTTATCCTGAGGGTGGTGCAGCACAGGAAATGTAAAGGATGCAAAGATACTAGAAATTCAAAGGGTTTGTTCTCTGGGCTTGGTGAATGGAGAGAGTCCTGCCGGATGGTGCTGCCGGGAAAAGCTCTCACCAAATTCACCGGGGTTCATTCTCCACATGAGGAATGTTGATCCAGACACAATCTGCTCATATTTACATTTTTACAATCACCAAAAAACAACGGAAGGAAAGAAAGTGTTGCTAAATCTTCAACTTTGCACTGATGACAAAACCCAACAGACCTCTTCATTCAATCATGATATCGTTTCTTTATTTATTTATCAAGATCTTTGCATTATTTCCACAAAACGCTGTTTTTCAATGTTAAAGAAAGTGAAAAGAAAAATAAATATTGCATCCGTACCAAAACTTAATGACATTTTTCTGAGCAAATCTTTTCACCAAGTTTCATGGAAATCACTTCTGACTAAGAGACATAACTTTCTCGGTGGAGGTAATAAAATCAAAATATATATATATCATATCAAATTCTAAACTCAGCTTGAAATGAGGCTTTTTCACACTGAGCACCTTGAAGTATATTTTCAAACCGAAACCTCCAGAGCTTTACTTGAGTATTTTATTTTTCTGAGCACCTCCTCCACAGTGAAGATGGGAAAGTTTGACGGTTGATCAGAAAAGTCAAAAGGTCATCAACATCCCGTGGGTTCGCTCTCTGGGGTTCGGGAGTTTTAAATGACTCTCGGTGGTTGACCAAAGTGTTCCATGAGCCCTGGGTTCAAATTCCTGATTACTTCCCCCCTCCCCTCCCCTCCCCCCCTCCCCTTGAGATGCAGATTTGGCTTCAATAAAGCCGGAAGCGATAGGACAGATTGCACCGAGCTCCTCGAGCCACGTCGGAGCATCTTTGGAAAGAGTAAAAAAAAAAAGACCAATCTCAAAAAAAGTGAAGTGTGAACGTCTTCTTCAGTTACTGTTTAAAATTCCAGCGTGAGATTCAGGCTCGCTCCAGCAGAACTGGCAGGACACAGCTACTTATATTTGCCTGGCATGCAGAGCCGTGCTTTGCCTCTCAGCCTGTTTCCTTTTTTCTGCAGCTCAAACATGTTGGCTCAGATTATCTGTGAGTTAAATAAGTAACAGCTTGAGACCGATTTTGAGCTTCCTCTCGAAGCTGATGGGGATGTGTGTTTTCTGACCCAGCGACGTGAAGTCTCCCCTCGGTGTTACGCGGTCGCAGCGGAATCCTACGAGAGAGTCGGGTCGTTTCGCGGCCTCTGGAAATCACAGCGAGGGAAACACGGGGGCGCGCTGCAACGCTAAGTGACGGAGACTTGTGGGGATGTGTGTGAGAGTCAGAGCGCGACTGCAGAACAGCTGTTAATTTCTATTAAAAATACATCATAACGTTTTTCATGTGCATAGGAAGAGCGGTGCAAAGTGCCAATTACTGTGTAAGGTCCAATCTAAACGGCGCCTTAGAGGGAGCTTAGTGTATCATTGAGGGAAGCCCAGCTCCCAGATCGAACGCTGAGCCCGAGGATACGTGCGAATATTAATTTCTGACTCTGCCACATTATAATCAATGCTGAATAAATGACGAATTACAACTCGCAGTTTAATCACAGTATCAGTGGATTCCAGATACGAGACAGTGTCTTTCTCCATGTGTGACTAACTGCTGGAAATCCAGTTCATTGTGTTTCCCACACGATTTTAAAACAGGAAATAAACCGCGAGAGGAACTTAACGTCACCGGAGCGAAGTTTTTCATGTTTCCACGTCGGCGACACCCAGTGGCCAGAACTTAAATTACTTCAAATTTGCTACCGATGTTAAGTTGGACTCAAAGATGAATATTGAATTATGGCGTTCAAAGGTCACGGTGACGTCACGTGAGTCTGAAATGTTTGTGGACTGAACATGAACGACGTCTTAGAGTTTTCAGGTTTTATTGCTCTTAAAACACAAAGTTAATGTAAAATAAATTAAAAGAGGGGTTTGGATTAAAGACTGAAAAAAATCTTATACAAACATCTATTTTACTTTATTTATACTTTATTTAAAAATTACATTTTACAAATGGATGATTTGTCAGCTGCTATTACAATAAACTTGTTATTGCCTTTTTAATTATTATTACTATTAAGGGAGAATGTGTTAATTTAAATTGACAAATTGCATTGACAACATTTCACCACTGTCACACTATAAAGACATTTTCACACAATTGTTGAAAAAGAAAGAGCAATAAAGTTATAAAAAAAAATCTATTTCTTATATTTTAGAGGAGTTACAGTCAGGCACATCCCAGGACACAGGCCATGTCTGAAGGACCCCTGATGACCGTGTGATGTCTGGTGGAGCCTGTTTGTAAAGAGGTTGGAGGTCGATGCTGTTCTTCTTCTTCTTCATGATGAGTTGAGATCTTCTGCTTCACTCTTCGTCTGACTGTAAGTTCACGTGTCTCATTAGCTCTGTTAACGTGTTTGATTGATTGATTGATTGATTGTTTGATTGATTGATTGACATGGCAGTGACACCTGCACAAGTTCACATCACTTTACTTTATATTCGTAAGACTGAGTCTGAGCCTTTAAACGTCTTTGTTAATTAAAACAGTGGAGAAGTAGGTTTGGTGAGGGGGGCTGCAGGTTTCCCTACTGGTCAGGTACTGTAACTACAAGCCACCAAAAAAACTATGGAACTATGAAATAAGAAAAACTTTCATTTCATTTTGAAGTTTCAGAACATTTCAGAACAAGTTTTATTGAATCACAAATTTAAAAAAGATATATTCAGTTGGATTTCATAACTTTCATCGTGTTTCTTTGTATTGGAGAACATCCAGTATGTTTTCCGTGCGGCCCATCGTGCACAGATGTAAAATGATTGACGCAGCGTCAGGAGCAGACAGAAGGAAAACAAAACAATGGTGGTGGGTTGTGTCTCAAAAACAAGTCTCTGACGTCTGTAGTGGCTTCAAAGAACAAAAATCAGTTTTCTGTTCAGTGAAATGTTCTTCAGTCGGTGAATTAAAAGAGAAATCCTGAATATTGCTCTGAATTTAAAATGATAGACTGATAAAGACTCTCTCTCACCTGTGGAAGCTGTTTTTGCAGCTTGGACCAGAGTTTCAGTCTGTTTGTGTCTCTGTAGTCGATTGTCTTCTCTTTTCTTTACTTTGCTCGTGCTTTGACTCTGGCTGCTTGTTTTCTTGAAGTTAGAGTGCAGCGCTCTCTCCGGGCCGCCGCACTCTTGGGCCCTCTGCGTGTGCGTTGGTGATGACAGGTGGTTGAAACAGAAAAAGAACGAGCTGCATCGCACCACCCTCTGTGCACAAACATAACCTGCAGATGCCTCGCTCCACCCACACGAGCAGGAATGTTTGGAGACGTGGAAATTACCCAACGAGCTTCAGTGCATCTGTCTCTTAAAACATGAAAAAAATCTTCTGCTCGTGTTGAAACTACAGTTTTTTTTGTTTAAAATCTCCTCGTTTCATGAGCAGAGGAGAAGTTTTCTGCTCGACACACAACATGTTATTTTAACTGCCCACAACTGCAAGATGAAACTAATAACGCACGCTAACCTGAGACATGAGAACATCAGAAAGCCTTAAGAGGGCCAGTGTGGGACTCCACAGTATTTACTGTAGGTTTTAATAGCTTGTCTGAGTGGTTTGATGTATAGCCTTGCTTTTCTTGCTCATTTGCAGCATGAAGTACAAGCTCATAATCATAAAGTTTATCTTTTTTATCCCCACACTCTGGGGTAACTGGAGCGAGGGTGTATGCTAGGCATCATTAATTTTCACTTTGTTTGCTGGAAGCTGCATTTTGCATTAACTGTGTGCATCTTCTCCTCATGTTCCGCGTCTTCTCTCTTCCTCTGTAACTCTTCGGATAAGCATCACTCATGTAACCGAAACCGATATTTTTCTTTTATGAACCGAGACGTGGAATAAAGCATTCCTGTGTTTAGCTCTGTGGTCCCGCGGGCTCAGACAATATACAGCACGTTACCTGCCTTCACTGCCAATGAACGACTCGCAGCAACACGGCAATTACAGTCGAGTTCCTGCAGAATCTGCTTCGCTGTTTACCAGAACTATGGGACTGCTGTTTCTTGATAAAACGCTATTGCATTTTGTCCTCAGGTGATTTCACTTCCAGAGCCAAGCTCAGTGCTGCTAGATGATATTATATATGAGCTGGGAAGCCTTGCTGATTTCGGAGGTTATTGGAGTTTGAGCCGCGGCGATGCACCTCTCTCATTGTGCTCTTGGATATGCAGCAATAAGAGACTGAAAGCGAGAGCTCGTCTCAGTTAGCGACTCCCACAACCTACCAGCTTTGCAACTTTTTAATAACATTTCCGTCTCTGCAAGGTGCGCAGTATTGGATAATGTAGCGGTGGCTTTATCCATAAGAGGATGATTAAAACCTGCTGCCAGGAGCTGATAGCATTAGCCAGTCACCACTACAGCGCGACCTTCCCATCCGTCATCTATCAGGTGTCAAAAAGATTTGGTGATGATGTGATTAGCAGGGCCGGGAGAGGAGAAGGAGACAGAGCAGCAGGACGTTGGGGGCTTCATTAGCATCATTAGCAGAGATCAGTGGTGAAGGTCAGGTTTTGAACACTGGATCTACAATTCAGAAGATTTGTTCATGTTGACCTTCCCCTCATCATCTTAACGGTCGTATTGATCTGGAGCGTTGCACAGAGCCGTGTGGCACAGAGCCGTGTCACTCAGAGCGCTGACAGCTTAGCGCCGCTTCACTCATCTTCCTCTTACTTGAAAATGCCAGATTGGGCTTTCTGACGATGAGCGAGCCGTGCCAAGACCTCCAGTGTTTCAGTTACAGGGAATCTCTGCTGACGACACCGCGGTGATGAATGCCCATCTGCCGTCTAAAGGAAATATTTACACGCGTGTATTATTGAAAATGCAAACAGCATCAGAGCTGCTGCGACAGTTTGTGTGTCGTGTGCTCCGTGTGTTTCTCTCTGATCACGTTGGTGTGATCTTCTGCAGCGAGTGGAGAAGCGGGTTCATGTCCTGGAGCCGATCTCTGTCCTTTAAAGCAAAGTGCAAACTGTGCATTCACATAAATAATTTTCAGTTGACGTTGTTAATGTGGGAAAGTGCGCTGGTCGTTCACAGGCCAACGACAGAAACAGAAATAAAGTTTGTGTGTGTGGAGAGTTGTGCAACTGTATCTCAATCAGAATTGCAAACATGTAAAAATATAAAGATGTGTCATGACAAGTGAACTGAGGTTTGTATAGGAATCTGTAAATACACGCACTCATTGATAATTCACAAATTAGCTGTGTCACAAATTATCCTGATGGAGAAGTGACGGTGAAATGAAAAGCGATCGTGCAGACAGGAGAACATTTGGAGGAGATACAGAATCACCGCGGTGTTTTTGGATTTGAAGCTGGAACCCAACAGTCATGTTCCGTTCAGACCCGTCGCCATGTGTTCTCTAATCGTGCTTGTAAGCTCAGAGAGAACACCAAACAAATGTTGAGAGATATTTAAAGCATGTGTCGTTGGATGTGTTTCAAAAAGGAGACGTGTCTGAGACTTGATGGAATAATCCTCCGGTGGCGAGTTAGACGACACAATGTGACGGTGTTTAATTCTGGCAGGAGAATCTAAAGCTTTTGAAAAAGGTGTTTATTCCACTTCTCGTTGGTGTTAAAGAAAACTACATTTTCTTTAATGAATACGTAATGTGAGGGAAAGGTGTCGATGCAGTTCACAACTTGAGTTTTTCTTTTTTTCAAGAAATGCGTGTGAGCCAAGTTTGCTGTTGTCGGGTAACGTTGGAAACAGGAAGCTCTTCGGTGTAATAACTAACAGAGGAAAAGGAGCACGTTGCTTTGAGAAGTGACATCTGAGGAGAAATGATTCTACTTCTCACGTCAGTAAACATTTCCCTCAGAAGTTTATGATCTTAATCTCCGGTCTGTTTTTGTGTTTGACTAAAAATAGACTCTAAAGCACCGTGTGCATTGAGGCGAGGACGCCACAGTGTGATTGACAGCCAGCAAGCTATCGTCCAATGGCTGCAGGTGTAGGTGGGCAGCTTGGTGGGTGACATCACGGAGGGCTGATGACGGCACATGGACCCAAATACAAATTTAAAGCTCAAGTCAAATACATTTTCCTCCAAACTTTCTGCCATTTTGTGTTGAATGTAGTTTCTTTACGGTGAATTTGGTTTTAATTAGTTACTGGAGGTTATAAAAATGTGGTGCAACCTCATGATTGGCAGCCGACTCACGTATCGACGGGATCTCGATGCCGTGTCTCCGTCCTCCGATCGCCTCAGACGAAGACGGCAGCGTTTGTTTCTGGGATGTTTTGGCTTCACGTGCAGACAGTGGGAGGAAGTAGAGACGCGTCCTCCATCTTTACTTGCAGCCTGTGGTCTGGACGTGTGTGTACGGCTGTTTTTTTTTTTTTTTTTTTTTTTTTTTTTTTCAATCATCCTGCATGTTCCGAGTTGTCCTCAGTGCACCTCGTAGTCGTCTGACGGTTTTGCTGGCAGCCAGATGTAAAGCGCGGGGCTCCTTGGAGGAGCGGAAACTATGAATTTGAAAATTTGGTCTTTATCTTGGGAAACCAGATAAACAATATTTCACCGAGCTTCCTTTTCTAGCAAGCTCAGCTCCATTCACGTTCACACTCTCTCCCTATAAAGAGAGCTAGTTCTCAGTAATGGCTTCCTGAGGGACAGATAGGAAACAGACCCTACAGAGGAAGATAGCGCTCCTCTCACAAGTCCCATCTTCTTGTAAATTTGCAGCAGTCTCCGAGGGGCGATAAAAACAGATGCAGAATTTACAAGCAGCAACAACACACTTTTGAGTTATTACCTAGAACACAAAATTGAAGCAGGAGTCATGCGAACGTCTAAAATATCCCTCTCTCCCTTCACTTATCATTAATGTTCGCCAATTCAAATATATATCACCCGGAGAAAAAGCCGATTATACCTTCAAACCAAAATGCTACTGATGTCGGGGGTTTACAGTTTGTAAGTGGAGCTAATAATATGAAGTGTGTCCTCAGGTGACACTGCACTGTGAGGTCAAACAATAAAAACACATTGTTATTCTTATTAAACTCGACTGAACACGCAACAGAGGAAATCACTGTCGCCGCCACGTGTTATCCAACACGTTGATAACGGCTGAGGGACGAGCTCTCGGTTGTGTCTTGATGCAATCTCTTTGTTTTTCACATTTAAGAACAATATCTTGTATAAGACAAAGGGCTTATGGGAAATTATTGATGAAAAAACAACAACAGTGAAAAGCTGTTGTTTCCTGCCTGGTTTATCTATTGGAGTGGAACTGTCTTATTAATATTATAATATATTAAGCTTTCATCACATTTATGAGGAACAAATATAATTCTGAAGTATGTTTT